AAACTTTTGAAGGGCCACCTACGTGGGGCCTTTGTGTCAATTAGGGAAAGGCACCCTCTTCGGGAAGGTGGTTCGGCAAAAGCTGCCTTCCCTGGACTGAAGCAGCCTGCTGGGCTCAATGCTTGCGGAGTTCACAGCTCCTCTGAGCAAAGAAAAAGCTGGCCCTTCCTGCAGGAGATGCAGACCTGCATTCAGGTACATGGTTTGTTGGGTGGACTGGCTTTCAGTCCCACTTGCCTCTTCGTCTGGGGACCACAGCAAACCCTACCACCACTGGCAGCCCTCCCTAGGAGCACAGAAGGACAACAATTATACGCCAACATATGCATGCACAGGACCAATACGGGCACAGGACTGCTGCTGCCCAGGGCTGGCTGGAGGTTGGCCGACGCTGTCACTTACCGCGTAGCCTTCTGTTTTCTTCTGGCACCATTTCAGGAGAGCATTGCGCTTGGAGCCGCCATATTCCCGGGCCAAGGCAGCCAGCGGGTCTCTTCTTTCCACGCTGGTTAGAAAGAAGAGCACAGAGGAAAGAGAAGATGCTAATGTTTAGGACCCTCAAGTATATATGAAATAAATAACTAGATTAGAAAAGCGAAAGTCTAGGTCTATCCAGGGAGACTCAAGAGAAACAACCAAATCAGTCATATCAGTGATACATTTCATTATGTTTCACGATATGAAATTTCAATGGTAATAATAATTCTCTTTTCCTTAAACTGGAAGGTTGATATCCAGCTGCACTGTTGTTCTTTATGCCTTACACATATTTTATTGTTATTATTTTGTATCATTCTGATACTTAATAAAAATACTTTTTTAAAAAAGATTTTATTTATTTGAGAGAGAGAGAGCGAGGATAAGTGGGGGGAGGGGCAGATGCAGAAGCAGACTCCCCGCTAAGCAGGGAGCCGGATGCAGGGCTCCATTCTGGGACTCCGGGATCATGACCTGAGCCGATGGCAGTCGCTTAACCAACTGAGGCACCCAGGTGCCCCGACAATGCTCTATTTCTGGATGGGAGTAGTGACGGCCTGGGTTTTCACTTCATTACAATCCATAAAACTATAATTTATATTTGATGAATTTTTATCTTTCTAGATGATACTTCATAATAACAAAGCTTACACTTCTATCAAGTACTACTTCCTCGTGTAACCTTCCCAGAAGACGAATACTGTCCTGATAAACTGATACTTTAAATGCAAACAGCTCTAAAGTAACAGGAAACTTTTGAAGGGCCACCTACGTGGGGCCTTTGTGTCAATTAGGGAAAGGCACCCTCTTCGGGAAGGTGGTTCGGCAAAAGCTGCCTTCCCTGG